TATATTTTCTTTCTTTTAATTAAAGATCAAATGAAAGGGTTGAATTCAAGACTTAAAATCCCACTTCAGGGGCTGGGCAGATATCAGCTGATAAAGTGATTGCCATGCAAGCATGGTGTTAGGTGCTTGCAAACAATCCAACTGCTGGGGAGAAAGGTGGATCCCTGGGGTGTCTCAGCCAGTCAGTCTAGCCTAATCAGCAGTCCCAGGCCAATGAAAGAACATGCACACACACTCATACACACACATACCATACACACCACACACACACCAACCCAACCAACCAAACAAGGGAGACAACTCCTGCAGAGAATACCACTTGAGATTGTCCTCCGGGCTTCCACATACACACATGAACACATGCACCCACCCACCCTCCCACAAACATGTATACATACAAACACACAAAATTCCACTTCACTCAAGAGGAATTTTAAATACTTAGTCATGCCCATACCATAGCAACGTAATTATATTTTCGGATAACTTGACGAATTTTCTTCATCTCTTCATCCAGGTTACAAGCCCAAACTTCACAAATTCTTTGGCTATGATCTACAGTTGCTGCTGGCATAGTGAGGGCACAAGGAGTCTAGATGCCAAGCATCAAATGTTAAACTTGATTGAAGGTTTGTTTCATAAAAGTACTTTACCCTTTATTTGTGTACCTGTCAAAATAAAGACCACCTATATCATAAACTTGAATCATAAAATTGGGCTGGTATAAACCAAAAATTACTTATTCAAAGTCTCTAATAACAAATCAAGGGAAAGTTACTTATGTCACATAGCTAAAAAATAAAAGTACCACAACCCAAATTTCCCGGCTGAATATAAATTTCTCAAAAACTGACTCTAAGTTCAATTCATTCCACACCAAACTATGATTTGTTCCCAGATTAAAAAATGAAATGAGCAAGATCAGATATTGACACAACAAAGGCACTGCTTGCTTTTATTCTTCATCAACAAAACATTTAAAATCTTACTGATTACAAAAATCTGCTTTATCGGTATTCAAATCAGATTAGAGGGAACATTAAAACAAGAATATGCCCTAAGAAAGTAACAGACAACCACAGAAATCAATGTTCATAATTGGAGACAGAAGAATATGTGCTAAAATGTTCTAATTATAACAATCAAAGCAAAACAAACAAACAAAAACCAAACCAAACCTGGCCCATTTCCCCTGGCTACCAGTCTACCAAGACTGGATCCCATGTTTCTGGTCCATAAACAAGTTTCATAGTGTATGATGGTAATACAAACATTGATTCTTAGGCAGAGAAATCTCAACTGTTTTAAAAGAACTAACGAAGTTAAAGGAGGAGGGCCCTGTAACTTGGATATGCTAAGAGCAGAAACCAAAGGTGATACTGGGCACGCCTTCTCTTACTCCCCTCTGAGCGCGGGCACCCACACACCGCACACCGCACACCTTACACCGCGCACACACACACACACACCCCAGTAATCTAACACTGCTTTCCTCCACCCCCCTCTACTACAGTTTCAGGCGCCCAGAAGAGGCCCCAAGGCCTTCTCAATACTGAGGTCGCCAGTCCTCCACGGGCTCCCAGAGAAACGTGAGGAGGCAGAGGCATACATATCACTGATAACTCTCTCAGCTGGCGCGGAGCCAGTGTGAAGGTACTGATAGCTTTTACTAGAGCCAGATTGACTTCCAACCACTGCAGCTCCAAGCCACGGAAGACTTCAGGATGTAGGCCACCGCCCTCCACTCTCAATTTCCTTTCCACAACGTAGCCCCAGGTACCCCCCGCCCCCCGCCCGTTACCCTCCCCCTCCCCAGCCGCTAGTTTTGTCCAGCCATAGCGCGCCCTTTCAGGTTCTCTATCCTCGCCTTTCCCACCTCTCCAGCCCGCCCTCGCCCTGCCAAATCTACTTGTGTCCGTGAGCTCGCGCTCCTCCTCCTCCTCCTCGCCATAGAGACAGCACGCGGCGGCGGAGGCGGTGGCGGCGCCCCCCGCCCGTTACCCTCCCCCTCCCCAGCCGCTAGTTTTGTCCAGCCATAGCGCGCCCTTTCAGGTTCTCTATCCTCGCCTTTCCCACCTCTCCAGCCCGCCCTCGCCCTGCCAAATCTACTTGTGTCCGTGAGCTCGCGCTCCTCCTCCTCCTCCTCGCCATAGAGACAGCACGCGGCGGCGGAGGCGGTGGCGGTACCGGCGGCGGCAGCGGGTGCCCCATAGACACCTCTCGCCCAGCAAGGGGGAAAGGGGAGCTGGAGCTGTGCTGCCCAGCGTTGCGTCGTCGCGCTTCGCACGTCCTAGCGGGGTCACTAGATGATGACGTGACTCGCAGGGGGCGGGGCGCGCGCAGGGGGCGGGGCGCGTAGGTGACGAACCCGCGGTGCTGGAGCTGGGCGGTGGGCTCGCCTGCCTGAGAGGCCGGGGTGTGTGTGCCGCGGTCCGGCCGGAGTTTCCGGTTCCCAGCCGCCTGCAGTGGTAGCTCGTCCTGCTAAAGCTCGAGGCCCGCGAACGCGGCGTGGCGAGGAAGACCGCGGCCTCTTGGCGTCCCGGGCGCTCTTCGTGTCGCCGGGGAACCGCGGAGCTGAGCAGTTGGGGAAGCAGGCCCGAGCCTCATAGAGGCCCGGGGACCCGAGGAGGATGAGCTGGCTCTTTCCCCTGACCAAGAGTGTGTCGTCCTCTGCGGCCGGTTGTCCCTCTGGCCTTACCAGCCTCCAGCAGCAGAAGCAGCGGCTGATCGAGTCCCTCCGGAACTCACACTCCAGGTGACTGGTCGTCGCTGCTCCCACTGGAGGGAAAAGTAGGGCGAGGGAGGGCTGCCTGCACACACCCGCTCAGCTCGGCGGGCCACTACGCCCGCTGCCGGCTGATGATAGCCCTTCCCACGGCTCCCAGGCTATCTCCTGCGCTCCAGCCTGGTGTGTAGTGTTTTCCTCCGGATCCCCTGCCCCACCGCTGCTCAGCTCTTTCCCGACTTTCTAATCATCTACGGGTTCATTCCCCTTGATCTGTGTCCGATATCCCTTGGTAGCCGGGCTCCCTCGCTAAGTTTTTCTTTTGCTCACCTGATTGCAGCTTTGAATTGTTAAAGTGCTAACGCTTGGCTGAAGACAGTGGCGAAGGATAATTCCCCAAGTTTCGCAGTGGAAAATTAAACTTTTGCAACATATAACGAAAGGGAAGTCTGTTTCCATTAGTGAACTCCTGCCGGGTTCACCTCTGCTCCTCCCAATTGCTAGTGTCAGTACCTGGCTTCCTTGTTCTTGTACCCCACGTTCAGGAATTGCCATGAGTTATCTGGCTTCTTCCGCTGTCTTGTGACTGCGTGTTTTGTTTTTTGTCTTTTTGAGACAGTATCTCTCTGTAGCCCCAGTTGCCTGGATCTTGCTGTTTAGGCTGGCCTTGATCGCAGAGATCCACCTGCCTCTGCCTCCCAAGTGCTTGGGATTAAAGGCCTGCCCCGCCATAACTGGTGGGTTTGCTTTTTTATGGTAGTCAGAAGTATTTTGTAATTCAGATTATTTCTACTAAATTTTTTGTTGTTGTTTAGATTGCTTTGCCTTTACATTGCACATGACTGTTTCCTCTAAAGGTTTGTTTTGAGGTGGGTTTTTTTTGGGGGGGGGTTGTTTGTTTTTCCTTTTTGGAGACAGGCTCACCATGCAGTTCTAGCTGGCCTGGAACTCACCAGGAAGACCAGGCTGGCCAGGAGAGCTATCACAGAGATCGACCTGCCTCTGTATCCCAATTGCTTTCAATAATCAGAACTTTTATATGTTCCTCGAGTTTTACAATTATAATTAGTGAACAGTTACCCAGCATGTGCTCTGTGTATGAGGTCAGCATGGTTAAACGCTCATCTTTTTAAAAACCTTTTCACATTATATATTCTCTATGGTTATATTTACATGACAAGATAATAAGTGATTTCCTATTGAATGTACTATGGGGCCTCTTTTGTGTTACACATCGATTTTTTTTCCAAGCATGTAAGTTATAATCTGCAGTAGTTTTAAGTGAAATGTATTGTCTAAAGAAAATTTCAGTACAAATTCACTTTGAATGAGGCCTGTTGCTGACTAAACTGAAAAATAGTTTGTGGTTGGTTGGTTGGTTGGTTTTTGTGTGTTTTTATCATTGTTTGACAGGGTCTCCCTAGTCCCAGTCAGCTGGAACTCAGTACGTAGATCAGGTTAGCCTTGATCTCATAAAGCTCTGCTTGCCTCTGCTTCCATAGGGCTGGATGTTGTGTTTTGTTTTTTCTAAATTATTCTACTTGTAGTGAATTTTCAAAAAGTTAATTTATGTGGTATTTTTTAACCAAAAAAATTTGGCAATCTATTGGTAGTTTCATTGTGAAAAGTTAAGCTCATAAAATTTTTACAAGTGTAGACAAGGAAAGATGTGATACCTTTCCTCAGTAAAAGAGAAGGTCATAGTGCTCTTGGAGCTTAAGGTTGGTTACAAGAGAGAAGCACAACAGTCGTATGTAAGAAAAGTTCTGTGACCATGGAGCCTTCAGAAATGAAGACCTAAAGACCCAGGGAAAACTTAACTGCTTTTGTGCTTAGGAATGTGTTGAAATGTGAATGGGCGAAAGGGCATGGTCTGATGGTAGTTAACTAAGGTGGAGAACCCTAGTAAGACCTATCTGTTCAGATTTCCTAGCTGTCTGTCTATGTATCATTTTACCCTGGTATGAGACAGAACCACTCTGGAATTAAGGTCTTCTCAGGAAGAAAGGCAATCGTGGCCTTTCTAGGTATATAATGTCTTTGGTGATCCTTCAGGAAAAGAACTCTTGTTTTTATGATTGCTTCGGAAGTGAAGCTAAGTGGAATTTTTCTGTGGTACACCCATAATCAGGAAATACTACAAACTGAGGAGCTAACAGTGACTATTCTAACCAGTTCTCTCCTTTTCCAATATCCAAAATTAATTAGCTTCTTTATTGATTTCCTTGTCTCTAAAACAATGTAAAGCAATGTTGTGAGTGGTATTATTTGTAATTAACTATATAAACTCAAAGTTATATAATAAGCCATTTTATTAGCTTTTACTAGGATCTCCCAGGTAAAAGCCTTCTGCATTCATTTAAATAATATATGATCATTCAGGAGGCTGGAGAGATAGTGTAATGGTTAAGAACACTGACTGTTCTTGCAGAAGACCTGAGTTCGAATCCCAGCACCCACATGGCGGCTAACAACTGTCTGTAACTCCAGTTCTAAGGGATCCGAGAGCCTCTTCTGTCCTCCGTGGGCATTGCATGACACAGGTGCACTTACCTACATACAGGCAATACACGCATACACATAAAAATAATAAATTAAAAAATATATGTGATCATTCTAATGCTGTTTTGTTTTATATTCAACAAAAGTGTCTAATTTGGATGTGATGGCATTTATCAGAATTGTGTTTTTCTTTTTCATGTGATACAACTGATAGACACACAATGAAAAAAATCCCTGAGCCAGGAAGTCAGGAGATACGGATGTTTCATTAACTGCCCTTGCAACCTTGGATAATTGCATCATCTTTATATGCCTATGATTACTAAAGTGAAAATACTAACTGCCTGATCTCTCTTTGCCCCACTCAACCATGAAATTTGTTGGTACCTCAAGCTCCCATAATATAGTGACACTCTTAAAGCAGAAAACAAAATGAATCTGAGCATTGTAAATGCATAGGGGAAGCACAAAGTAGTACGACTTTATAATATAACTGTCCAGGATTCTAACACATACTAGTTTCTTGGCAAAATACTCCTTCCAGTTTTTCATTTTCTGAATTAATTCCTATCAAGTAAAATTTTTGTGATGGGGACATGTTGCGGATAGAACCCAAGCTTGCTGGGCAGTGCTCTACCACTGAGGTACATTCCTAGCTTTCATGTAGGATTTTTTTTCCCCTCTTATTTTTTAAAAATTATTTATTATATAATCACGATCAGAAGAAGCACTTCATTACAACATTAACATATTCAATAATAATACAGTTATACAATATTGAACTCAGTATCAGCCCCATAAGACATAAATTCAGTGAGGTTGTTAAAATATACTGTTTCATACAGAAAAACCCATTTTTACTGCTACTAACGCTTAGATGTTTGCACATGTGTCTCCAATCTCCACACCTGACCATTACTAATCACAGTTGGTTACTTTCTGAGATCCATCTGAGCAAGGATATAAAATCATCGGGTAGATTTCAATGGTAATGTGTTTCACCTCTACTAATTAACATGGAACAAGTTTTTATGCTTCTTTCTCAAATATAACTCATTTTTAAAATTTTTTGATTTGTTTTTTTGTGTGTATATTTTATACAGAACATCCCAAACAATCTCATTCATCCATATACCCACATCCCAAATGGCACCGTCCCATAGTTCCCCCCCTTCCCCTGCCCACTGGAGCCCATATACTCTGTAATCCCTGCCACTGGCCACTGTGTTGTCAGCAACCCCAGCCATTCTCCACTGCTTGTCCATCTGCTGAATCCAGTCAGCCCATCTAGAGCTCCCTGTTCTAGGAAGATCAGCTCTTCCTCATCCAGCAGCAATCAGCTGCCAATATTCCTCTAGACAAGATTGCAGTCTGCTGTTCATTTTCCCACTTCTATACTGGGTTACTGTCTGGGAGTCTCTTGGGCCACCCTGGCCAACAACTCAATATTAATTCTTCCAATCCATGAGCATGGGAGGTCCTTCCATCTTCTGATGTCTTCCTCGATCTCTTTCTTTAAAGATTTAAATTTTCATTGTAGAGCTCTTTAATGTCATTGGTCAGGTTTATTCCAAGATACCTAATTTTTTTTGCAGCTATTGTGAAAGGGAGTGTTTCCATATACTCTTTCTCTAATTACTTGTTATTGGTATATAGAAAGGATACAGACTTTTGTAGATTAATTTTGTAACCTGCCACTTTACTGAAAGTGTTAATCATGTCTAGGAGTTTTCTGGTGGAATTTTTGGTGTCTCTTAGGTATAATATCATATCATCTGCAAAAAGGAATAATTTGATCTCTTCCAATTATTACTCCTTTAATTTGCTTCTCTTGTCTGATTGCTCTTGGAAGAGTTTCAAGCACTATGTTAAAAAGGAGTGAAGATAGTGGACAGCCTTGTTTGGTTCCTGATTTTAATGGGAATGCTTCCAGTTTTTTGTCCATGTAGAATGATGTTGGCTGTGGGTTTGTTGTATATAGCTTTAATTATGTTGAGATATGTTCCCTCCAGTCCAATGTGTATTGATTCCTGTTGTTTTTATTTCTGTTCACATTCCTGGTGTAGTTGTGCATTTCCATAGTTATACCTTCATTAAGTTTCTTTCTGTAACCACTTGGGTATAGTTGTTCCTTTCTTCAGCTCTTTGTATTGCTTCAAGAAGTCTCTGAAGGGCTGGTTTTGTGGACATGAGTTCTTTCACCCTATTTATGTCATGGAAGATTTTTCTTTCCCCTTTGACTATGATAGACATTTTGGCTGGGTAAAGTAATCTGGGTTGGCATCTGTGGTCATTTAGAACTGGGAATACTTTGGTCCAGGCTCTTCTGCCTTTCATAGTTTGCACTGAAAAGTCGGCTGTAATCTTGATGGGTTTTCTTTTATATGTGATTTGTTTTTATTTTGCAGCTTTCTGTATTTGCTCTGTGTTCTTTACGTTTAGTGTTTTTACTATGATATGCGAGATTCTCCTCCTTCCTGTATGCCTATGATTTGTAATTTTGGTCTTTTTATGGTGACACACAATTC